CTCCTCCCCTCCCCTTCAGTCCCCTCCTCTCTCCTCCACACCCCTTCCCACCCTTCCACTCCCGTCCCCTTCCCTCTACGTGACAGAGAGGCGGTCACGTGACAGGAACTCACAGTCAGGTGGTCACGTGAAGGGAACTCAGACAGTTGGTCGCGTGGCCCGAAGTCACAGACGGGCGGTCATGTGACAGGGTGCCAGGAGACACAGCGAGCGCAGGGAGGCGGGCGGTCATGTGACGGGCGGGTGGTCACGTGGGGCGGTCAGCTGACACGCATGCGACATATTGGACAGCCGTGAAGGTGTCGGTGAAGCTGTCCTGCTGCCGGACGTCGCGCAGCAGCTCCCGGGGCTGCGGCCGCTCCAAGTAATCGCGGAGTGCGAAAACCGGCTCCAGGGAATCAGAGAACTGCACGGCTGCGAACTGACGGACAGACGGACATCCCGTACTGACACCATAGCGACCTCGTGGAGGTCCCATGCTGCCCCAGATACCCCATAGGGACCCCATAGAAACACCATAGTGACCCCATAGAAACTCCTATATACCCACAGGGGCCCCGTAGAGACCCCATATCGTCCACACAGACCCCTTACAGACCCCATAGAGACACACAGGCTCAGGGAAATCGGAGCACTGAACGGCTGCGATCTGATGGACAAACGGATGTGTGGACATCCCATACCGACACCATAGAGACGCCATAGGGACTCCACAAAAACACGTACAGACCCATAGAGACTCCTATACACCCGTAGGGCCCCCAGAGAAGCCCCCAGAGACCCCAGAGAAGCCCCCGCTCCCACCCCCCAGTGCTCACCCTGAAGGAGCTGTTGCTCAGCTGCTCCATCACCTCCACCATGAAATCCCGGATGGCCTTGAACTCATATGCTTTCAGACTGTCAGAGCCGTCGAACAGGAACACCGGGTCCACCATGCTGGGAACGCAGCCTGCCCCAGATGGACATGGGGACACATGGGGACCCATACGGATACGTAGGGACCCCATAGAGACCCATAGGGACTCATAGGGACCCACAGCTTGGGGGGCAGCCCCACACATTCCCCCAGTCTCACCCTGATATCCAGCCTCCAACACCTGCAGCGGCTGCAGTTAGGGGTCCAGCACAGTGCAGACCCCCCCAACGTGGATGTTGTGGTTGCATTCCCACCTCAGCCCGGGGCCACAAGCCTGGGATGTGGGGCAGGGCTCAGGGCTGCCCCATAGCCCCCCCAGAGAGACCCTAGAGCTGCCCCATAGAGACCCATAGGAGCATCAGCCCCATAGTCGCCCCGTAGAAACCCCAGAGAGTTCCTCTGTGATCCACAGAAGATGATCTGTGGGGCAGACATCAGCCCCATATCTGCCTCATAGAGACCCCAAAGATGCCCCATAGCCGCCCCATAGAGACCCCATAAAAGATGATCTGTGGGGCAGACTTCAGCGCCCTATCAGCCCCATACCTGCCCCCCACCCAGCCCACATCCCCCACTCACGATGGTGTTGTTCCCATCCCGGCTCAGAGCCATTCCCATATGGGCAGCGCTGTGGTTCCCTGTGGATCACATCGGGGTCGTTCTCCCCCCCCCCCCCCCCCCCCCCCCCCCCCCC